ACGTTGCCGGTATTTTGTGGGTTGTTAGGGATATGAGGATTGAACCATATTCATCACAACGCAAGCATTATTTTACGCCAGTATTCTGTGAAGCAAAGGCATGGTATGAATACGGTCGAGCCGTCTCATTCGTGCCGAAGCATGGCGCTTCCTCAGCCTCACATGATGTGGATAAGGAAAATTTGTACCAACATAAGTACCAACATAATTATCATATTAAAACTTTTACTATTTTTTCGCCAATTTACTCGGTACGTCTGAACTGTTTGCTTTTTGTATACTTTAAATAATATATTTATTAGCTTTAAGGGTGTTCTTTTTCTAAATGATAGGACATTTAAGTGATGCTAGACTCGATCCTCTTAAAAATCGGATTTTTGCCTTCAGTTGATTGTACATAGTACAGCATGAGCAATATATAGTATGTATAAGCTTTGTTTTCTAAGATTTCGCAGTAATATTTGTTCTTTAATTTCTCATTTGTGTAAGATTTAACGTGTGACAACAGAACCAAGTTGATAAACCATTTGTAAACTCAAACTCGTTTACTTGTTCTATATAAATATTGTGTAAGTAAATACACAGATTCATATTGTTTTAATTTAAACAGTTAATTTTAAGTCTGCTATTTCAGTGGGAACAGGAAAATTATATATTTAGCTATTTACTATTTATTTATAATACTTATGTCATATGTTCAAAGTTTAATATTACTACTGGCCATCGCCCCTGTTTCGGTATCCAAATCCTCGGTCTTAATAATTTGTTTTCTTTGTTTTAGGCATCTCCTCCGGACCTTGCAAGCGTAACATAATAAGAATTGTCGGAATCGATCGAGCCATTCACGCGTGATGCCATAACTGAGGAATATCGAGATTCATTTTTACACACAAGCGTGTAGAAAAGAGATTAATTAGGACAATGACCAAACTATGATGAATGCAGTATTCATGATACTAATACAATTTATACACACATACTTATAATATTAAGCTAGCATTTATGTAGGACGTAGGTACTAAACTGAATATCTAACTAAGTATTACCAAAAATTATAGTTTTACCACACTTTATGACGATCGTTTAATTAAAATAGCGTAGGTATCGTGTCAGTGTTGTTTGTTGTTACATTATTATTACGTGGCGTTGATGAAATAAGAATCCAACTTTGAATTAAATGCATAATGTCAATGTTCTCGTTATCTTGGCCTCCAATCGACGGCTCGTTTTTATTTCAAGTTCATTGAAATCTTTAACTTAGTGTGAACTTGACTCTTTGATTTCTTAGAACGGCTTATTATTCAAGTCATGCTATCCTATTAATAGGAGGCAAAAAGGTTGGTATCTAGCCTCCTTGCTGTTACAAAGTAGATCCTTTATCGTTATTTTTGTGAGGGAAATGTCATCAAATTACTTCCTTCGGCCCAGAGTGAGGCGAGAGGGAGTGTCAGACTCTTACTGACTAAAAACTTCCCCGTTCCTTTTTCTGTGGCCGCGGTGCCTTGTGCGTTTGCTCTGCAACCTCGGCTGGCTGAAGCACGAGATCCTGTATTGCATTCTCGAGAAGAATAAAAAGGGACTGAGAAATGTTCAATATAATTATTATTATCACAGGGACTAGAATTGTCTTTGTTCTTTTCATTTGTTCAAAATTGAAATGAATACGTTAAAATGTAGGTAGGTAGATAAAACTGGTTGTTGAAACTACCTACAAATGACATCTGTATCAAGAATACAGCTTCATTTACATAATACAAACAATAGAAGATTCGTTAAGTATGGCATATACATACATTATTAGTTTAAGACTAATTAAAAACTAGTGTTGAACAAGATACATGTCATTTAAATAAATTAAAGTTTGCAACTTTTATTTTACAATTTAGTTTTTTGACTAGTCGGTCGATCGGTTTTAGCAAGTCTCTCTTGGAATCAGCTCGAGTATTATGCGATGTTTTAGGGACGGTATAAATATTAAACTTTGCAGTTACTGAGACTTTTACGATTACGACTTTTATGATTGAAAATGCAAATTACAATAGCGAATTCTTGTTCATTTTTATGGCTGTCATGTTGGGAAGGGATGGGGCGACAGGTAGTATTTTTTTTCTGCAAATTATTAATCCCTAATTATAAAGGGAAGCTTCGCTGAAACATCGTCGTAAATCGAAAGCCTAGAAAGTTCATTGGACGATGTAAGAAACTAAGGAAAACATGACAATATTTTCCCACCAAAAAAAGATTACAATAGCTAATGGAAAATGATTAAAAGATAAAAGTTTTTTATCACGGATATAAAACAATGTTATGTCGCATCTAACATGGTGGAATCGATGCTACATCAATGAATGTCTTGCACATATCGCGTGTCTTGAAACGATCGAAGCAAATCTACGTGGTGGGTACTATCAGCTGTAGTTCACATTACTCAATGGTATGCGTCGGGTCAGCCTCGCACGTGAGAATTACGCACGCCGCAAATGTTTCACTACATCCTCTTTTCTGCAAATACTTTTTATTACAAGCTATATTTGAATTTCGAATAGAAGGTGAATGTTTTTTTTATTAGATAACCAGTTGTATTATATTCATTGTGTTACGGAAACGTCGTATTTTTTATTCGCGTTGTCGCTAGCAATGACAATCGTGTGTTCTAATTTGGATGCTGTGATAATTATTATGTAATATGGTGCAATAACTGAACCAATGGGATGAAGACAAATATAGTACAAAAAGCTCTGGTTTCATAGTTTGTCTATGATTCTTGGCATTTCAGGAACAACAAAAAAAAATATAAAAGTAAATTAAAAACTGTTTGAATTTCTTATTTTGCTGTTATCATTATTAATTTAAAAGTATTATGAACAAACAGTACTAGGTACCTAGTTGGTTCTGATAATTTAAATTCATTCAGAATAATTTAGTAAGTAGGTACCTATGTATATTTCTGTGGCAATACTTTCTTTTATCCATAGAGTATAAATATTAGGAAGTGAAAATATTTAATATTTAATAAATACAAATGAAAACTATATATATTTTATAGATGTGATTACAACATAGTTTTCATGCATATATTATTTTGTTTCCTTGATGATGTAACTGTTACTAATAAATAGATTGGAACTATATGTTTTATTATTAGATCAATTACATTACATTACACTTACCAGATGAATGTTCTGCAAGGGGTTCATACAAGTCATGTTGTTCCATCTCCCTTTTGATACCACTCCAAAAAATTGGTAATGTCCATCTAGAATGTACAAATGCAAAATTTAATTTTAATATAAAAAAATCTGTAGATTTTTAAATCTATTGGAAGGCTTGGCTAAAGCTTAGTTTTTAGGCTTCAGGATTTTTATTAAAAAGTTTTAGATAAGTACAGACAGTTATGACCTGAGTTTTGTTTTTATTTTTATTATTATTTTGTAGCATTACAAATCTTGTTTTGATAGGCCATTGTATAGTGGTAATTTACTGAAGTTTTTTTTAATTTTCTTTGGCAGGTAAACATTTTTTTTTATTAAATAATAAAGTAAAAAGGCAATAAATAATATTATAAATATACTTACGCAAATGTTAGGGCAGACAATGGGTTTGCCTTAGCCCTAGGGTGTGCAGGACGTCTTTTTTTATCTAATGTCTCCATGATTGAAGAATTACCTGCAAAAAATTAAAATAATGTTAGTTGGCTTTGGGTCAATGACTCATTCGGGGTAGAATGTAGCAGTTAGAGTATACTCTTGAGGGCAATATGAAACGCAAAAAGAACTAACAATATTTTTTGAGTAAACACAGAAAAATAACTGCGAAAATATTTTGTTGCTTCATTACCCTAAACATTTTCTTTTTGTAGTTGATACAGTTATAATTGGTTCATGGAAAGCTATTAATACTCACCGTAGCGGTCTTAGACAGCCGGTATGGTTTTGTAACCTTACGAGACAAGCACACGCATGACCTGTGCACTGCACCGGCACACAACTACACTCCGACACGGTTACACAGCTAATTGAAAATGTGCACTACCTACTTATTATTTATTTTATACCCATACAACAGGTAATATCTCCTCAAAACCCGTTGATGTAAATACAAATTGTAAATCACTGGTAATTAAGTACTTTAGCAACGCTATGTAGCTATTCATGTAAGTAAATATCTAAGAACTACAATATTCAATCGATTCACATTTGAATATGGCACGTATAAATTTGTGATTGTGTCATTACAAAACCCACACCGTACACGACCACCGCTAATTTTTTACTGATAAAATGTTGTGAATGAATGAAGCACGAGGGTAACGTCAATTTGATGTGACGTATTTTTGACAGCTAAATACAAAAATGCAGACAGTGACATGGAGTAACGTTTGTCAAACCAAAAGTTGCACTGATATTCTATTACATTAAGAGACATTAAAAGGGTAGTCTACACGTGACGGAATTACTTTATTTTGCAAAATGAGATTATGCTCTACTATAACTAAAAATATTTTTCCCATTCCCATCACACAGTTGTTGATTGCCAACCATCTATGTGATGGGTATGGGGACGTTTTCACGTAGAACGATGGCGATCAAACCGAACAATTCCACAGACACTCCCCGTAATATGTGCGATAGAGAACACATAACGAGGCTGTGAGATCGAACAACTCATCGTTGAATGAGAACCAGAGAGAGAAACTGTACTAGGTTGCACCCGCCCAATGAGTACCTACAGCATTCCATATGGGGTCGAACTTGCGCCTTGTATAATGGCATATATTGTCCCGGGGTGAAATACTACCGTTTAATTTATATTCGATTCGTCCGATAATATATGGCATTATTAAAATTATGAGTAATAGTGCACTAAATAAGGAGCAGCTTCCTGCTTGCAACTTTGGACTCTGGGTCCATGTCCATACAAGACACATGAGTGAATTCTAAGGTTTATATGCTTAGAGTGAAGTTGAAGATGTTGATTTGACATTGACAGATTACAATCTGATAAGAATGTAATTGTACTTCACAGTTCACTTCGAATCTTTAAAACGAAAGTGTTCTCTGCAAAACATTTTGTATATTGTGATGTTGGTTAAATAAATAATGTAAATGTAGTCTGTACATATTAATAGTGCGGCCGTTGTTTTAGGAGTGACTGGTCAAACAAATGAGTCATGTTAGTGATAAATATTCTCTGAGAATGTGTAGGCTTAGGTTTCATATAATTGAAGCTTGTAGTAAATAAAAGTGAATAATTCAATTCACAAGTTGAGTTAAGAAAAATGTACGTGTCATTCCTACTAAGATACAGAAGTATGATACTGGCCAGTATATTTTTTTTCTACCTTGGTTGTGGAATAACACTTAGCTTTCTACGCCTTGAATGCGCTGATGCTCACAATGCCAAAGACTTGAGCGAAACGAAAAATGGTTTAGATAAAATTGAATATGCAGTCCTAATTTTAAGTGGACCTGACAACGAAGCCAAGAGAGATGCTATAAGAGCTACTTGGATGAAGTTCTCAAATAATATTTTTGTGGAGAATGGAGAAACACTATACAAGTGGAATCATACATGGACTGAGCAGCATGTGCCACACGAATTTATAAAGTTCTATTTTGTAATTGGCACTCAAGGTCTGAGTGAAACAAAGCTGACAAGGTTGAATACTGAAAATAACAGAAGCAATGACCTCTTATTATTGGACAGCTTTGAAGATAGTTATAAGAACCTAGCTATAAAAATGTTACATTCATTAAAATGGTTTACAACTAATTTAACTAGATTAAAATATTTGATAAAGTGTGATGATGATTCCTTTGTTCGAGTGGACTTGATAATTAGAGATCTGGAAGCTTTTGCACCTGAAATGAATGCTCATGAAATAAGTGACTATGTCACTTACAAGGTATACTACATCTTTTTTTCTGCAGGCCATGATGCTAATGCTGTAAAACACTTTTATTCTTGACATTCAATATTGCATTTTTAATATTTTGCTATTTGTTTAAGTCCAAATTATTATTCTGTGCTTGTTTAACTTTAAGTTAGCTGGGGATACTGTTGATAAAAAGAATAAAATTATATTTTTCATATTACTTACCATTTAAAGATTTGTTGATATGATTTCAGAAAGATCTCCCTTCATACAAGGGCTTGTACTGGGGATATTTCGATGGACGAGCACGAGTTCACTTGAACGGCAAATGGCAAGAGAAGGATTGGTTCCTGTGTGACAACTACTTACCTTATGCATTAGGTGGTGGCTATGTCATATCTCGCAGCATTGTGGACTTTGTTGGAAGGAATGCTGATATGTTAGGGTGAGCCTTAATATACATTTAAGAGAAACAAATTATAGTCAATTGCTGAATGTATTGTGTGAGTAATTGAGAGTGACTCAATTCTATCAATTAATAGACCTTTTTTATTGTCTTTGATTGTCGTTTGAGAGAATTTATTGGCAAGATTTTAAGGGGAAAAATACACATAGCAACTTACAGAACTTTTGTTACAGACATTATAATTCCGAGGATGTCTCCATGGGAGTGTGGACAGCCTCTTTAGATGGTATGAACAGAGTGCATGACGTGAGATTCGACACTCAATGGAAAACGAGAGGCTGTTCCACACAAATGTTAGTCAGACATAAGCAGGCACCAGCAGACATGTTTCAACTGTACAAAACATTGGTACATTCTCATGGACAGAAACTTTGCAAGACTGAAACTATTCTAGGCAAATCTTATCTCTATAAATGGGATGTGCTGCCAAGCATGTGCTGTAAGTAGTGTAACTTTATTATTGTAGAAAGTGCTAGAATGCTTAGATATATAGTTTGTTTCATCAAGTCAGTCATTATTTAAGGCTCAATAGTGATCTTTTATATTACAGTATTTGTTTGTTGTGTATTGTCAGTCATTATGTAGGAAAATAGAATATGTGTGTAGCTATTAATTTAGGACTTGTATTTATATAAATCACTGTATAATTACTTTATGTAACTGTATTTTAGTGATCATGATCTTTTTCTAATCCAAATAAAACTGTTTTAAAACATTACTAGATGTGCATTTTTATTTTTAACTAAACAAATGAACATAAATTAATCTTATACAACACATTTTTGTCATTTAAGGGTAACCATGTAACCATGTCATCATTGTGTTATAATAAACATCAAACAGTGAGAATAATTTGTTTTACGAATACTTATTGTTATTCACACACCCGCACACAGGCACCCAGATATCACATATAAACAGATTTTGCAACTTAATTAATTATGACTTTTCATGTCCATGTAGGTCTGATTGTTGTAGAATGTTGTTCTTGATAACTCTTCCTTGAAGTAATCAATGGTCCTCTGCAGACCGTCTTGTAATGAGACCTGGAACAAGGAAATTGATCATTATAACGGTTATCCAGAAAATGTATTATAATCTGTGGATACGATTTCTCTATTAAAAAGGATGTATTATGTAAGGCAATAAAGATAAATATTCCACTAAAACAGTAATAATGTAGGACAGTCTTACTTTAGGTTCCCAGTGTAAATGTTGCTTAGCTACAGTGATGTCGGGGCGGCGTCGCTGCGGATCATCCTCCACAGGCGCGCTCTTCGCCACCATACTCCGACACCCTGGCACTTGATTCTTTATTATCATCGCGAATTCTGAAACAAATAAGTAGTTCAATCACTCTATCAACCACAAAAGACCGCATCAAAATTCGTTGCGTATTTTTACAGTTGTAAACATAGGTACCGTAAAACGGGGCGAATAGTGATAAATACACGAAAGGGTGAATGTGGTGTGGTGGGTAGATGTTGGCGAATTTTCCTAGATTCACCCCTCTTTCGTGTCTATTCACCCCTCGAATTCTATTTACCCCGTTTTACCGTACATAGGTATATAGGTACAGAGAAAGCGACTTTGTATTATACTATGTATCTAGTGATTAAATCCGTAAAAATACTCAACTCCTAAGTTATTTTTGTTTGTTTGTTACTATCTTTTCAGTCTGTCGCAAAGGCCTGCTTGATCTTAGCAAAAGTCTGGTGTGGGAAAATTCGTAACTCTTAGGTGAAAACTTTGTGCATATTATATACTCCTTACGAAGGTTACGGGAGCAAGCCCGGAGATGTAGGAACGGGGTTGTTTTTAGTCAGTAAGAGACATTCTCTCTTTACGAGGAATAAAGATCTATACGGGGAACATTTTAAAATAAGGTCTGTTTTTCACCATATATTATAAAGGACTAGCTACTCTCGCGCGGTTTCACCCGCTGCTCGGCTCCATTTAGTCGTAGCGTGTTTTATAGCCTATAGCACTCAGAAACATTGTACCTATTTATCAGTGAAACAATTTTGGAAATCGGACCAGTGGTTGAAAAGATTACCCCCTACATACAAACTTGCAAGTTTTACCTCTTTATAATATTAGTATAGATTACTTGCACACTGCAATTAAGTAGGTAATAAATACATTACCTACATCCAGTACAGTATTTTTGCTTCCTTATAGTTATAAGGAAGCAAAAATGAAGTTGGTAAGTGGTGATAAAATATAGTAGAGCCTAGTATAAGTAGCGATAAGCGTTATCGTTTACCGTATATCCACACCTTTTACGATAATAAAGTTCAATGGATTCAAAACATTTGATAATATGTGTATGAAAGATAAAAAAAAACGTTTGCCGTTAAATTGCACCCCTCGAAGCGATAGATAAGGAAAGGAGACTTAGAATTATGGATTTTTTTGGTACATATATCACAAGAAATAATACAATGGGTGAATTTAATATATGTATACTTAGATTCAGCCCTAGCCCTTTGAATTGGGTAGTTTCCTAGGTCAACAATAAATTAATTTGACGTTTCGATACAATAAAATATGGAAAAATAACTATACTTTCCATTCATCGGTCGATCTATACACTAGGTTTTAGATTTTTTTTAAGCTAATTATTAAGAAATAAGTAAGCTATTTGACGCAAAAATACTCACAACCGAGTTTTTCATACAAATGTCATAGAAAATTATCGTTTTTGACATTTAGATAAAAGTATTGAATTTGACTGGTTGAAAACACCGTTGACTATTTTTTTTTGAAGGGGGTTATCATCAAATGTCTTCTCTGGCCCAGGGTGAGGCGGGAGGGAGTAAAAACTACCTCGTGCCTTCTCCTTAGCTGGTACCATATTGCGCTTGTCCCACAAGCTTGGCTGAATGTCAACCTTGTTAGGCCCCTGTGGTTTAATGACTCTTTGACGGTAAATTGACGAACGGAGTGTAAAAACCGCTAAGAGACCACTGCATCATTACTAAGCTGCGAACTGTGATTTGCATTTCTATCTGATTATTGTGGGCGTGGCTTACGCATTTCAAATGTTCAAGAAACAAAATACAAAACTGATTGACTGGATCTGTATGCTATAGTACATAGTATATGCTAATAATGTTTACCTTGTATAGTATTTTCCACGGGATTCCCGAGGTTGACAGGTAACGTGTAGCTGGACGCCATCAGAGCCAGCAGTCCATCGACCAGATCTGATACGTAGCAGAATGACCGGGTCTGCTGCCCGTTGCCGTAGACCTGCAGCATTCATAAACATTCATGAGCTATTATTCGCTAGTGCTAAAACATGTATTTCTAGGCTAGAGGAATTTAATCAGTTAGTACAGTTAAATGTATTGAAAATGACGGGTGCCTCACATAAAATTACCGAAGAAAGGACTAATAGTTACAAGTCACAATGGACTCTTTTCACGAGGTGCGTATGCGTCGGGGCGTTGATATGCAGTCAACGTAATTAATTCAAAGAGTAAGCCGTTATATTAATTCATTTTTTAGAATGTCTAACGACAGTAATCTGTTTACATGTCACTTGTTTTGTTTTGTATTGTAAGACAAACCATCAAGCCAAGAAGCGAATACATCGCACGGCTGCACTGTAATCGAAGGATTTGCTTTCAACAGTTTTCTTTTGGTAATACCTATATATTTATAATCACACTAGCTACTCTCGCGCTGTTCCACCCGCTGCTCGGCTCCATTTAATCGTAGCGTGATGTTTTATAGCCTATAGCACAAAGGAATATTGTAGCTATCTATCAGTGAAAGAATTTTGGAAATCCGACCAGCAGTTCCAAAGATTACCCCCTACATACAAACTTACAAATTTTACCTCTTTATAATATTAGTATAGATCCGTATTATCATCAGCCTATAAGTGTTGAGCATAGGCCTCTTCTCCATGGAAAAGATTTGAGCATTAATCACTACTCTTGCTCAAGGCCTATTTGCATTTTCAAACTTACTTATAATTAGAAATTAGTTCAGGTCACATGTTTTTCGTATGTCAGTGTGTCAGTATAACACGGAAATAAAGACACATTGGTGCTTGCCAGGTATCGAACTAGCACCATCATGCATGAGACGCGGGTAACACGACATTTCTTATCACCATCAGCCTATACCTAAGTGACAACTGCTAACCTAACGCCTCTTACAGAGAAGGGGCACTTAAGTAAATATGTATAAAAAATCCTTACAGTAATAGTTAAATTCTGCAGCGCTTGCATGATGAAGTTGGAGACGACACGTCCGTCGGACACATGCATCCGAGGTCCGTAAGTGTTAAATATGCGCGCTACTCTAACTGCCACCTTCTCTTGTTTCGCGTACGAATACGCTAAAGTCTCCGCAACTCTCTTGCCCTCGTCGTAACACGCTCGAGGCCCTGAAATGTTACATAATTTCTTATTAAAATGCTGTGGATAATAATACAATAGGACTTGTTAATTGTTCAGGAAAAGTTCAATACGGTAAAACGGGGTGATAGAATTTGAGGCGTGAATAAAAACAGGAGGGGGGGGGGGGGGTAAATAGATACTAGGAAAATTCGCCAACATCTATTCACCCCTCAAATTGGATAGTTTCCTAGATCAAAAATGAATTAATTCGACGTTTCAATACAATAAAATATTAAAAAATAACTAAACTTTTATTCATCGATCGATCGATACACTAAGTTTTAGATATTATAAAGCTAATTATTAAGAAATAAGTAAACTATTTGACGCAAAAATACTATGACTAAACTCAGTTTTATAGGTATACAAATTTCATAGAAAAGTACTTATAGTTTTTGACATTTCAATAAAAGTATTGAATTTGACTAGTTGGAAACTACCGTATTCTATTCACCCCGTTTTACGGTACTCAAAACTTTTATTTTATACCTAATAGTTATATGAAAACCTTACAATTATTGTTTAGAACTTAATAGTTTATATAAGTACAGTAACTTGTCTTTCGTTATAATCTAGTGTTATGTTAAGAGCAACTAACTCATATTGCCGACGATATTCCAAATCCGCGTAACTGTCGCAGACCTGTACCTATTGTTCTGGAAAATTATGTATTTTCTGGAAAATCTTATCTTTACAAGCGATAGAATAAATTCTATTCTATCGCTTGTAAAAGAAGAAGAAGAAGCCGATCAATCAATGCGTTTCAGCTATTTGTCCTATGGGTCTCACAAGTACGCATTCATGTGTAATTACTTAGTGTGAATACTTTAATAATACGGATGCTTTTTAAATATGGATTTTTTTCTACCTCTTTTGTTATGAAAATTGTAAACCTCTTGTTAATACGAATGAATTTGCAAGTGAAAATAAGTGCTTTGTATAAAAATAGACATTTACTGGATTTTACAATCAATATATTTTTATTGAAATGTGAAAGGCAATGAAGTTTCTTTTCTATGAAGTTATAAATTAATGCCATAACAAAAAGTGTTTATTCTTAGTAATATGCCTAATTTTCGTCTTATCAAATCAATTTTTAAGAATGCCTGTATCCTAAAGACACTTTCTGCTTGAAAATGTAATTATATTTGGTAAATTATTTTCTGTGTAAGACACGGCTACACGTATCTAAAACGTGACAAAACCTGAATCCTAACTAACACGCCAGTGTTTGTTATAAACAACACCTAAATTGCTGA